TGCCTCCATCCTTTATCTTATGTGTGCTTGCTTTGTATTGATGGGATGTTGAGATGTATTTATGATTATCTTGGGGGAACTTTACTTTTCTTAGGGGTTTGTCTTGGTAGCCAATATTGTTGTTGAGCTTGCCTTGATTTTCTTTGCCTCTTTGTATGATAGTCTCTATCTTGATCTCTCTTTGATGGTGTTTTCTTTTCATGTTTATTTCTCTCATTCTTGATCTTGTTATTGTGATGATTTTTACTTGATGTTGATGCATGTATTGCTCCCTAAAATCCAACCCCCTAATATCCAAATCCCATTAATCCAAACCCTTGAATCCAAATTTTCTATTTTAGTTCTTAATAGTTAGTTAGGTGTTTAGTCGGTTATTTAGTTCTTATTTTCTTATCTTTGCTTTTTAATAGTTTAGTTTAGTTTTGCTTCGTAGTTTTTTTTATTTTATTTTGTTTTAAAGTTACTAAACGTTTTCTTTTTATATAGTTCCTTTTTCTATTTTTCTTCTCACATGGCTTTGAGAATGATGTTATTGCTTTTGGAGCTCAACGAAGGTGGTCATTTCTATCGCCTATTTCTTTTTATTAGCATTACTCGGAAGCCGGTGAAATCTTTCTTATTTTTCTCTATCTCTTTCTTTTCTTGGATATATAGTTTAGGATTAGTTTTAGGAGAAGTTTAATGGTTCGAGGATGGTTTCCTGTAACACCTAGGGTGTTTGGGATCATTGGCGATGTTGTCAATTGATCTCTTGTTTGTTAATTGGGAATTACGTGTTACACTTGCATCGTTGTTCCTTTCTTTCTTTTCCTACTCTTCCTTTATCTGTGGTTTTCCTTTTCTCTTTTCTTTTCTTTTCTTTTATTTTCCTTTCTTCTTGATTTTTGTTTGTGGCATGTTTTGAGGCTTTATTTTTCACTTTTTGTCTTTCTTTTGAATTGGACTATATACAACCGATTTTTTCTTTTAAATGAACATCTTCCTAAGTGATAATGGTATGCACGGTTTGAGAGTATCCTTGGTTGACTCTAGGATAGGTGTATGCTAAGGTAGCATGTCTAAGAACTAGGGGGATCATGAAACCGGATTCTACTTGCTTGTGACATGTTGGTAGTTGCTTTCTATAGTCGATTTTACACCTATAGTGAGTTTTTGCTACATCCATGTGAGGTTCATCATTTTTCAAGCCTTCAACATTTATTTGCTTGAGTGGCATGGATCCTTGACTATTGCGAACCTAATCTTGAATCTTGAATCATAATTCTCAAACATGTGACCAAACCATCTAGGGAGGACAAAGTCATCTTTTTGGGGTGGTAATTTTTCATTTCTAGGATAATCTTCTTTATTTTTAGTTCATTGGTTTTACATTTGCCTTCTTGCTAACCATTTGAGCCTTTTCCCTTCTTTTCAAGCCATATCTTTAGAACTTTGTGCCTTTTGTTTCTTTTTGTTCCATTTTTGGTTTTTGTGAAGCAAATGGTCATGCTATTAGAGATTGTAGTATACGAGTTTGGATTTTGGTTCTTTTGTAAGCAAGCTTGTGTTTTGTGTATATTTTGTTAATAATGGCAAATGAATAAATGAAAACGCCGTCCAATGTTATAAAAGGCAAGGACATTCAAATGTAAAGTTGTAAAAGCCGTCTAAAGTTATAAAAGGCAAGGACAATAAATAAAGTAAAAATGAAAAAAGTTTTTAAAAAAAAAGAGAGAGCAAAGCTAATTCAAAAAGCTTTGGCAAAAAAAAAGTGAAAAGTGAAAAATGAGAAAATTCAAAAATATTTTGATGTGAATTATTCCCCCTTTCAAAGCATTGAGGACAATGCTTCCTTTAAGCTTGGGGGAGAAGCGTTTACGCTTTTTATATATATGTTTGTGAGTATAGCTTTGAATAAGCTTAGGGGTTTTAGTTTGTTTTTTGTTTGGTGATTACTTGATTGTGATTCTATAAAAGGGCCCGTTCTTTGCTTCACTATTAGGGATACCACCAAATTTTTAAATTTTAGCCTACCCTTACCCTTTTGCCCTTACGTTACAACCATTGGGAAAGACCTTCTGACCTAGAGGTTGAGTCATATATCGAGGGAGAGAATTATGAGTTAAAGCCTAAAGAGAGGGGATGCAAAGTCAAGACGTCGAGTAGCCCAAAAGTATATTCTTTTCAGGCTCCTTTGAGGAGCTATTGAGATGCTCATTAAAGGGAGATTAGCCTACCATACTCTCTTGATTGCTTTACCAATTTTCCCTCCCAACACTCGACTTAGTCAATTCCAATTCCAATTAGTTGTATCCATTGCAAGTATATGTGGATCCTAAACCCTAGTTTTGATATATTTGATTTCATCTTGATTGTTTGATTGTCTTAAAATATACACACCTTAATTCATTAATTAAAAATACCTTAGCTTTAGCATTAGCATTCACCTCCCATTCCTAGTGGTTCAACCCTCGGCTTACTCCTATGCTAATTATAAGGGCGTGTTGAGTTATTACAAATTTTTTTAGCCTTAGGGAAGATTAGACCAACGACCTAGTCTCAACCCTTGTTAAGCCAGAGCAAACTGTTAAGGTGGGGACGACTTCTTTTGCTAAGTTGGGTGCAAGCTTGCACCAACTGCTGAAAGAATTCAAAGACATTTTTGCCTTTGAAGTGGAAGAGATGTCAGGCATCAGCCCAGATCTGATGTCCACAAACTCGCCGTGGATCCTAAAATGAATCCCATTCAGCAAAAGAAAAGAAACCACGACGAGGAGAGAAGTCAAGCGGCAGTCGCCGAAGTAAAAAAGCTATTAAACGCTGGGTTCATTCGGCCTTGTAACTTCCCTGACTGGGTTACAAACGTTGTGCTTATAAAGAAGCCGAATGGTACCAGACGCATGTGCGTTAATTACACTGACTTAAATAGAGCATGTCCGAAGGATAGTTATCCACTTCCGAAGATCGACAATCTGGTCGACTCTTATGCCGCGGGCGCGAACCCTTGCTTGGTGCACGTGGCCTTGGCTCATTCGCTTGCTAGATTAATATCGCGCTCCCGAACATCCCTATAATTGGTGCACTTGAGGCGATGCTTATTAGAAGGGTAGCTCCCTTATCTTCCAAGCACTTGAACACTTCAAGCCAAAGCATTGCTTCTAAGGACCTCTAGTTTCCAGAGCTAGCTTGAATTGCATACTTGAAATCTCGGACATAGCTCCATCAACCCTCTTGAATGCGCTCAAGATTTCTCCTTGGTGATCAAACCTCGGGAAACTCAACACACCTACAAAACAAGTCAAGGAAGCAAAGAAGCGAGAGAAATAGTCGAGAAATGAACTAAATGACAAGAAACCAATAAAAGCATACATTTCTCTAGATTTAAACATAAGCATGCAAAGCAAGCATTATTTCATAAAAATACGGCGCCGTCTGTGGGGAGAGTACCTCTAAGATGGCTTCCCAAGATAATCATGTGCCTCCTCAAGAGACCAACCGACCTCTGGAAGAAATACAGGTCCATACAAACCATGACTCAGGTGACGACGCAGATGTCGAAACCTATGTGGCCCCTAATGGGTCACTCATCTCTAAGCGCCTTCGTCAGAAAGACACGCGGGAGTGCAATGCTAACCAGGCGGGTACTAATAGGCCCCCTGTACCCTTAAGTAAGCCCACAAAGCATGCGACTGATGTCTCCCATGCGGTAGGATCAGCCCCAGTCACTCGTGACGAGCTCATGAAATTCATGAGTAGCCTCAGGGGTGAAATCAAAGGACTAATAAACAAGTGGACGGCTGCCCCTAGAAAGGAGCAGTTGGCCACAAGGCCTGCCAAGTCTGGGCGGCAAAAGTCGGTTCGAGACCGACAGCCGACTCCTCACCCGGAGAAGGCTCAGCCCCAGTTTGACCTGTCAAGACTCTGTTTCCTTGAAACGGTGAAAAGGAAAGCCATCCGGCATGTTCAGCCGGATGGTAGCAAACAGACATTTCCTAAGGCTCGTTAGTACATCGACCAACTAAGGAATCAGCAGCTGTCGGAGTCGGCTTCAACGTCGACTTATCACGACAGTTTTCAGAACACATTGGTGAGGAATTCCCCTTCCGTGCCTAGGACTCCCTCAAGCGGCCCCCTCATGTAGTCGGGGCTTCACCTAATCAATTCGGCGCAGTATGTGGCACAACCACCATACAGACTGCCTGCTTTACCTTAAATCCAGCTTGCCTTCTTCGGAGGATAGGCGGCATATAATTATCAGCCTTTGGACTGCCAGCTTTGGCTACAAAACGTTGGGGAACAACCCTCTGCATCCTCTAGGGAAATAGCCAAGGCGGAACAACCGGCCAAGGTTAAAAATGTCTTGGTTGGAACCTATGATGGTTCTTCTAACCCTGAAGACCACCTCTTGGCATACACCCACCTCATGTACTTATAAGGGTTGGATGATGCCGCCTGGTATCGATGCTTCCCAACCACCTTGAAGGGCATAGCCCAGCAGTGGTTTAAATCTGTCGGCTGGTTGCATAAACATCTTCAAGATGCTTGTGTTTTTGTTTGCTTCTAACTTCTCTATGAACATACCTGCAAAGAAAACGAGCCTTGATCTAGGTCATGTGCAGCAGGGAGATAAAGAAGGCCTGCAATCATACGTCAGGCGGTTCAATCTGGTGAGAATCAAGATACAAGGACGGTCTGACGAAGTGGCTTTCATAGACTTTTTCAAAGGTCTTAAGGATTGGTCAACTTTCAAGTTTAAACTCGTCCGCAAGAAAATCTTCACCCTCCAAGGAGCCCTAATGGAGGCGAACGCCTCTATACAGGCAACCTAGCTCTGCTCCTCTAATAAGTAGTCGGACTCTAAGAAGTCTGACTGACAGAAGGATAGTCGGCCTGCTCAGCCGTCTCTAAAACCAAAAGAGAGCAAAAAGAAAAAATAGATATGGGCAGTTGATAACTCCGATCAGCCCGCCCAGAATAAAAAGAAAGAGTGGAAGTCGTACGTTCCAAGGTACAAGTTCCACATGGACAACTACTCCATCCTCATGGATATTAAGGATCTTCTGACTCTTGAGAAGCCCACTCCTATGAAAGGTTACGCTAAAAATCGGAACAAAAATAAACGCTATCACTACCATGAGGATGTCGACCATAACACAACCGACTACTTCAGCCTCAAGCGGGAGCTTGATCGTCTGGCCGACAAAGGGGCAATGAAATCCTATGTGATGTCCAAAGTGGCTTCAAAATCGAATCCTGGGAAGCTGAGCAAAAAGAATCCCCAGCCTGCTATCAGCTCTGAAACGGAAGAGGAACCGATCTATACGATAGCAGGCGGATTCGCCGGTGGTGGTCCAACCATCCGGGGCAACAAGGATCATCTGAGAAAGATGGTCCATTCTATTAATGAGGGACAGGCAGCTAGCACATCCGCCTTCCCTAATGTCAACATCACCGAACAAGACAGAGGTAAAGTCCGTCGGCCGCATGATGACCCTGTGGTCTTAGAATGCAAAGTGGCCAACCGATTGGTTGGTTACATCTTAATTGACACAGGAAGCTCCTCAGATATCATTAGCTACAAATGTCTATCCAAGCTGAAATACAGGCCGGATAGTATGACGGATGTCTCCCACCCCCTTGTGGGTTTTGGCGGAGGAGTTGTGCATCTAGTCGGACGCATTGATTTGCCCATCCGACTGGGAGAGAAAGGAAGCAGTTGGCACATGACCATCTGGTTCCTAGTGGTCGAGGAGCTGACCGCCTACAACCTCATCCTTGGCCGACCTACTATTAACGAGTGCAAGGCAGTCATCATTCCTGCTCTCATGCTTGTCAAGTATGAGAGGGGTAATGGTACTGTTGGCTCCCTAAACGAGGATTAGAAGACGGCTCAAGAATGCTACCTCTCGGACGTCAAGCATGCGGCTGCTGGAGCTGGTCAGGGCAGAGAGCCAACTGACCTTGAGGAGGTCAAGGGTGACCATTCGGCCCCACTAGCCGTTAAGAAACGAAAGCCTCATCTGCTGGTGGTGGTAAAAAAAGAAAAGCAATAGCAATCACTGACCTGGGATCGGTCAGATGACCTCCGTCCCCAGCCGGCTGGTGACCACATTCATATTCATCTAGACAACAGCCGTGAAGAACGAACTATTAAGGAGGGGACGACTGCTTTTGCTAAGTAGGGCACAGGTTTTCACCAACTGCTGAAAGAATTCAAAGACATTTTTTCCTTTTAATTGGAAGAGATGCCAGGCATCAGCCCAGATCTTGATGTCCACAAACTCGCTGTGGATCCCAAAAATAAGCCCATTCGGTAAAAGAAAAGAAACCATGGCGAGGAAAGAAGTCAGGCGACAGCCGCCGAAGTTAAAAAGCTATTAGACGCGGGGTTCATTCGGCCATGTAACTTCCCTGAAAGGGTTGCAAATGTTGTGCTTGTAAAGAAACCGAATGGTACCAGGGCGTGTGTGTAGATTATATTGACTTTAACAGAGCATGTCCAAAGGATAGTTATCCACTTCCAAAGATCGATAGTCTGGTCGACTCTACAGCCGGACATGCCTTGATGAGCTTTATGGACACCTACTAAGGCTTTCATCAGATTCCCCTGTGAAAAATGGATCAAGAAAAGACGGAATTCGTTACTGATCAGGGGTTATTCTGTTACAATGTGACGCCATTTGGTTTGAAGAATGCGCCTGCTACTTTCCAACGAATGACTAATACAGTCTTCATTAATTAAATTGGGAGGAATGTAGAGGCGTACATTGATGATATGATAGTCAAATCCAAACAGCAGGCGGGTCACTTTTCTGACCTCCGAGAAACATTTGCCACACTCAGGCGGCACAAGGTCATGCTTAATCCAAAAAAGTGTGTCTTTGGTGTTGAGTATGGGAATTTTCTCGGATTCTTGATTGACTAAAGGGGGATAGAGGCCAACCCAGAAAAAATACATGCGGTAATCGACATGTAGTCGCCCCGTTCTGTGAAGGAAGTTAAAAAATTAACTGGTTATCTGGCAGCTCTAGGAAGATTTCTTAGTCGGTTAGGTGGCAAGTGCCTTTACTTCTTCCAGGCGATCAGGAAGAAGATTAGATTTGAATGGGGGATGATGCTGAAGCCGCCTTCTAAAAGCTGAAAATGCACCTGCACTCTTTTCCAAGGTTGGTCAGTCCCTTGCCCAAAGAGGTGCTCTATATGTATCTGGTCGTTTCAGATCATGCCCACATTGCTATTCTCTTAGCTGAAAGAGACGACATCCAGCTCCCGGTGTACTTCATTAGCCACGTTCTTAGAAACGCAGAGCTTTAGTACCCCATGGTTGAAAATTTTGGTCATGCCCTTTACATGGATGTCAAGAAATTGAAACCTTACTTCTTGGCACATCCGGGCACGGTCTACACTAACCAACCAATCAAGCGGACAATGACAACCCTAGAGTCCTCTAGTCGAATGCTCAAATGGGCTATTGAGTTACAGGGTCTGGAAATCACTTTCGAACCAAGGAAGGCAATAAAGGGGCAAGCATTCGCCGACTTTATTGTTGAAATGACAAGGCCGGCTGAGCCGGATCATATCAATCAGGTTTGGAAAGTGTATGTGGACGGAAGCTCCACAATGAACGACTGTGGTGCAGGTTGTAATTTGTCAGTCTCCTGAGGGGGACAAATAATGAGGCCGAGTATGAAGGCCTGCTAGCCGACATTCGGATGTGCAAGGCGGCAGAGGCAATGAGAATTGACGCCTGCTCTGACTCTCAATTGGTCGTAAGCCAATACAGTGGTGTCTATGAGGCCACCCATCCGGTTATGATCAAATACTTGTAGGCGGTCAAGGCTGAAGCTGGGACACTTGAAGACTTCAATTTAAGCCAAGTGCCCAAATAAAAAACAATCAGATAGATGCTCTGTCCTAACTGGCCTCATCCTTCTCATGTGAAACGCCTCGGTTAGTCTTCTGGGAAGTCATGGAAAAAAGAAGTGTATCTGATGAAGACCCCATTGGAGTACTTGACAGAAACTCCACCTGGATGGATATCATCCGGGCATACCTAACAGACGGCACCCTCCCAGATTCACCTCAGGAGGTGGCCGTGCTGAAAAAGCGGGCTGCAAGCTTTTAGATAACGCAAGGAAAGTTATTCAAAGCAGGTTTCATGAAGGCTCTTTTGAAGTGTGTGACCCCAAAATAGGGGCAAGAAATCCTCGAAGAATTGCACGCCGGGACTGTGCCTTTCATGTAAGCGGCAGATCCTTAGCTTTCAGGCCAGGCGGTATTACTTCTGGCCTACCCTGGAGTCGGATGCTATGGAGATGGTTAAAAAATGTGACTAGTGTCAAAAGTTTGGCAAGCTGATTTATCGTCTGGCCACTGACCTAACGACCATCCACAGTCCTATGCCGTTTACTAAATGGGGCGTGGACATTCTAGGTCCATATACGACTGCTCCAGGCGGCAAGCGTTACATCTTAGTGGCTGTGGATTACTTTACCAAATGGGTAGAGGTAGAGGCGTTCAAATACATCAAGACAAAGGATGTCATTTCCTTCATTTGGAAGAATATTATCACTCGTTTCGGGATGCCTATGTCTATGGTTTTTGACAATGGTCCTCAGTTTGAGACTCCTCACCTAAAGACTTGGTTAAGAGATCAAGGGATATCCAATTATTTTACATTAGTCGGCCGACCCCAAGAAAACGGCCAAGTTGAAGCCTCAACAAGTTAATCTCAGACGGCATAAAAAAGAAAATTGAGTGAGCTGGCAACCTATGGGCGGATGAATTACCACACGTCCTATTGATGAGTGGAATTTATGCCACGACTAAGGTTTATTTTGATGGTCATTTTCCCACATTTACGGCTTGTTTGCATCCTTTTCTTTGCACTTAGTTCCTTTTCCCTTTATGCATCTACTTTCCTAGATTTTGCCCCTTTTCCTACTCTTTACTTTGATTTCCATGCTTATGCTTTGTAGGAACCACCGGGGTTTTCAAGAGGAGGAAGCTAAGCTCAAGGGAAGCTGATAGAAGAAAGATTCTAGATAGGTTCGGCCGAACCCCTTGAAGGTGCGGTAGAACCAGGGTGTGGCCGAACCTGCTCCACTGTCCGGCCGAACGTCGAGGCAGAGTCAAGTTGCATTTTGGCAATTTTGCAGGAGTGCTCAAACCTCAGAAGTTTTACCAGACCAAGATTAGGGAGGTTCGATCGAACCTACCCATGGTTCGGCCGAACCTACCCTGTAGTCCGGCCGAACCTTCCCAGTGTTCGGTATGACCACTCCTCTATTTCAGCTGGCCGTGTACGGACTATATAAGTCCCATTTTAGAACGTTTTGATGTAATTAGATTAACTTAGCTTTAATTTTCTACATTTTAAGCTTAATCTAGAGAAAGAAACACTTTTAGTCTTCATTTGGTAGAGAGAGAAAGTGTGGATTTCTTCATTGATGAACTTGGATTTTGAAGAAGAAGCTTGTTAAAGTCTTTATAGATCTTCAACTTTAATCAATGAGTAATCTCTTATTCTTTATCTTTACTTTTGCATTTAATTTAGTTTGTTTACTTTGATTTTTCTTCTTTGCTAATTGATCATGTTGATGCTTATTAATTTGGTGATTGATATTGTTTTCAACATGATATGTGGGTATTCACTTAGCCAAGGGTGTGGGAATGGTGTAGTTGCTAATTGTGCATGCTTATAATATTGGGATTAAGTTAATTGTGATTAAAATCTTTGCATGCTTGATATTCTTAGATCTTCTTGCAAGTGCACATTGTTGGTTGATTAAAGGTGAATCTTTGCTACCAAGGAACGGAAGTTGACTTAGTTAAGGTTCATTACTATCGATTGTTCTTTGATTGTACCTCCCAATATATGGTTCTAGTGTGGAAACATAGAGGCTATGTTAGGAGAAACCGATTAACCCCAGAAGACAGTTAGATTGAACCTTATTTTGAAATTCATGCATGTTTAGTTCACTATTGATTTGCTTTTATGTTATTGCATGATCAAGCGACATCTACATCTACCTATTTCCCTTGGTGTTTAGTTATATTGATTTTAACTAAAATAACCTTTAATTTAATCTCTTAGTCATTCTTGTTCTTTGTCCCGAGATAGCTTAAAGTCTAGTGATGAATGCGGTGTTTATGTGCTTCTCCCTGTGGTTCGATCCCTCTTCTTGCCATATACTTGTATTAGGATAATTCGAGTGTAATAAATTGTATTTGATTTAGGTGTAGTTGTCTCACGACGTGATTATTCCTCTATCAAATTGGCGCCGTTGCCGGGGAGATGGCTTCCATTGCTATTTCATTGCTTGTTTGAGACTATCTCACCTTTTATTTGTTAGTGTTTGCTACTTTTGTTACTTGTTAATGCTTACGTTCTTCTTAGCTTTGTTGTATGAACAGAGGACGAACCCGCTCAAGATCTTTGATTCCCATCGATCCAGAGCTGGAGAGGTCTTTGTCCCTACTTCGAAGAGAAGCAAGAGCAAGAAGTAGAAATTCTCATACCCCGACGAGAGGAGTAAGAGAATTAGAAGATACTCCACCCTCTTCACCCTCAAGTGAAGAATTAGATAGCCCTAACTCATCATCGAGTCCGGAAATCAACCCTTTCTCAACCTATAAGTTCGAGAGTGAAGAAGGTCCTAAAATGGGAGAGAATACGCCTTTGAGTCGTCTTGGGGCTCCTTAAGCCTTTAGAGCACAAAGTGGGATCCTAACTCCTACTACTCAAGCCAACAATTTCGAGATCAAGCCTAATTTGATTGCTTTAATTGAGAGGAAACAATTCTCGGGTGGAAAGTTTGAGAGTCCTCATGAGCACTTAAAAGAGTTTGAGAAATATTGTCACACAGTAAAGGTCAATGGA